GTGAGTCCGTCCGTTTATCAGACTTCCGCTGCATATATGCTCATCCTACATTGGTTGATCTTTGGTTCTGCCCATACTCATTGAAGTATGTAACATCTGGTCTGCACGTTACAGTATGCAGACTCTTGTACAGGGGAAATTTGGCTAATCTGAGTTGACGACTGAGGGAGGAGACCCCAAGAAAGAAGTGGAGAAACACAGTAGGGCATTGAGGCTCTTCTTTTTTTTTTTTTTTTTGAGAAACAGGGCCTTGTAGCTCTGGCTCCTTGTCCATTCTGGGGAGCGTTAGTCCGCTTCCAGTTTCGCCCGCAAGTCAAAATGATGCACCAAATACGCACGTCAACGCCTCTCCCCATTATGGCTGAGAGGCCCGAGGGGGCAGCATTGACTACGTCCGCTTCGAAGGATGTGCATTGAGGTTCTTGTTATTGTTCATTGTTGAGGGTAATTATTGGGAATCGCCATAGACATGTGTACGTGAAAGAGAAGGTCAGGTCTGTAACTTACTATGTTTAGGACACGAACAGCATCACCGACAGAATCCTCCACACTTAGCCCATTGCCATCTTCCCAGATGACTGTGCAAGAAAGACGGCAGCCACTCACATGCTCACTGAACTCCACCTGCATCACAAAAGCACCTGCAAAAATTAGGTGACCATGTCGCACCATACCTTTTGCAAGGGCAAAGGTTCCGCCCAAGTGCAGAGCATGAGCTATGCAGCTTGTCGATTACTTGAATTTGCTGAAGTTCAATCACACACAAGGAGGAAAAGAATTGTGAAAAGCTGACAATAAAAATAGCAAAAAAATACACCAGATAGAAAGGATGTGAAATTGTGAATGGACTTTTGCAGCTGCCCCAGACGACATCTTGAAACACCTGAGATGCAGTTTCCAACATTGATTTCCTTGGGGTACTTCGACCCTGTTGCCCGATTTTTTCATTTCTTTTTTTTGTTCCTTTTGCCCCTTTCCATAGGGCGGGCCACAGCTGATTCAAACTTTGGACCGTATTTCAGCAGTTCATGGGTCTGAACTTAGCTAGGCTCGTTGGTGTGCGCCAACTTCTGCAAAACACACCGCACAAACACGAAAAACAAAACCCACCCCAATGGGTTGTTTGTGCAGGGAGAGAGAAGAGACAAGGAGGACAGTGCCCGGTCTTTGTTGGGCCACGTGCGCGCCTACTGAACTACTGGCCCAACTCCCGCGCCTCCTGGACCAACCGCCGCCTCCCTCTCTTTGACTCGTGCCTATTTGCCCCACGTGATGCAAGCCTCCCTTTTTCCGCCTCGCGAACCTCCTTGCCCAAAATCGGAAATCAAAAGGAGAATTAGAAGAAACACAGAGTTACACAACTCGTGGAAATATGGAAAGAAAAGCAAACAAAGTGAATGGCTTCCATCGACAGCAGTGACAGAAAACCCAGTCTGTGACATCATCAATCACGGAGGAACAATGATCTGGATACGCTTATCGTACGTCTCCCCCTGTTAACCGAGAAAAAAGCCCACACGTGTCGAAACAACGTGCGGCAATCAAGGACACCCACACAATGCGAACATGTTGATGGTTAGATAACAGATAGTCAATAGTGGCTGAAAAAACACAGCATTTCATGCCCTAATACTTGGACCGAGAACAGACCCGGCCCATGCAATGCGAACTTGTAGTGGCTCCATTTCCTATGGAAGGCATATAACACTTACTCGAGGAATCGTGAAGAAGAAGGTACCAAAGTCAGACCACTCCTGCGAAGGTTCTGATGCTTGATTGAAGCGGATGCATCCCAATGCCCTTAAATGAGGTGCCTTGTCAGAAAGAAACCTGCACTTTCAAAACAAATCACCTTCTCATCAAGTTCCAAATTGAGACAACGGCCAAATTTCACTGGAGACGCTAGTTCTCATGCTAGTTGTCACATGGGAACAAAGATTGTCATCTGAGTCATGAATACACTGCAGCAAATCGTACATGAACTTTGTCAACTTCATTGTCCACTTAGCCAATCATCTATGTCCAACCCACTGAAACAGCGCCTGTGCAGGGGAAAAAAACTCGTACGCACAATCATAGAATCACACACAACCTTGAATTCATCATTGGCTGTTCTCTATCATCCAGTGGGACTATACCTGTGGTGTGGCTCCTGTGGTGTTCCAAGGTGATGGCACCCATGTAATGAGAATCTATAGGTATCTCACTCGAGTCCCACCAAAGGTATAAGAGAGACATGTAGCGCCAATACCCTAAGAGTGCAGGCAAGGCATGCTGGAGTCCAAAGAAATCAGAGTTACACTATGGGAATGGCAAGGCATACCAGCCTAGTCTGCGTTTTGTTAACCTCGTGCAACAGCAGGTGATGCATGCCACTTGTACACACGCCTGACACTAGACCCTATCCCCATGTTTGTGATGCCCTCCAGAATTCCCCATTCGATGACCTTCCTAGTGCGATTTCATGTCCACCCGTACTTCCAGTGAAAGTCAAGTGTGTGCGGTCAATTGTGGTACCCGTTCCTGGGGTAATGCAAATGTGTTCCTAACATTTCACAGTTGTGATGGACCCCTGTCATACCAATCTAAAGGTATCTCACTCGAGCCCCACCACCAATATCAGAGAGACCTGTAGAATGCTTCAACATCCAATAGCCTAAGGACATGCTTGTACACATGTGCAATAAATCGCAGTATCCCAGTGGGACTGTACACTAACTGTGTTTGCTGTTGCCTTGGTTTGGGCCTTGCGGGACTTGATCCCGTGACCTGTAATTTGTAAGTTCGTTTATTTACCTTGGAGGCCTACTGGGCTTGATCCTTAGACCTGTAGCTAGTAGTCTATATTTGGCAGTCTTAGACCCTTAGGCTTTTCTGTTTTGTCATTTTCTGCAGTTGCTGAAGTCAACCCGGGACTTGATCCTATGTGTTTGTGTAACTTTGTGGTGATTGACTGCTTTTGAGCCTTATTGGGCTTGAACCTCGAGTCTTAGGCCTTTCAGCCTTGTTGTTCTGTCCTTTTCTGCCCTTCTGGAAACTGGTAGGCCCGTAGGTCTTTCTTTTGTGTGTCCTAGCCTTGGGTTCCCTTAGTCTAGGTTTCCATCTAGATGCATGTAGGTACATCTTGACTTTTTGGCCGTAGATGTTTGCTGTTTGGACGGTCAGATAGGTCTGTCGGTGGCTGCTGTGTAGTAGGTCTAGGGAAGTCGGGTAGAAGTAGGAAGAGGCCAACGAATTTGGGGGCCTTTCGGTTTTTCTAGTTGCTTTTTTTTTTAGAATCTTGGTGGAGGTCACGTTGCTTCCCTGCCGCGCTATTGTGGGCATGTATGCAAGGCATCGTCTCCACATGCCGCTGGCGGCCATAGCTGGGGCCTGCCAGCTCCATTGGTGACAAAGCTGGGCTCGGCGCCAAGTGCTGATGAGCGCTTCCTCATATTTGTGTGCTTGTTGGGGTCTGGTCAGCTGCCACCGAAGCTGCACTTTCAGTGGTTCTTCTTCAACGTGGCGGGTCTTCATCTTCATCCAGTTGCTGTTCTTCTTCATCATCCTGGAAGCTGTGCTCCCCTGCTGAGTGGACACTTCATCTGCAGYGGGCTTCTTGAGTGGCGCAGAGAGGGGTGTTGGATTTAGGAGGTTGTGTGGCGATCGGCAGGCTCGATAGGTTGGGTGCCTGCAAGCACCCAAGCTAGAGCTTGAGGAAGAGGGAGGAAGAAGAAGACCCCCGGATACTTCAACGAAATCATGTAAATAATTGGTCCGTGGTTGTTGATAACGCGGTTGGGCTACTTGGAAATTTGCGCTGTTGATTGACTTGGGGAGCGACGGTAATTAGAATTGATTTTCATTTCAATTCTATTTACGGCATAGTTGCGGCGCACCTCGGTGCGCAGATTTGTGCACAAGTTGCGCACCACGCGCAGCGCACCGCACAGTGCACCAAAGCGCAGCGCACTTGGAAAATTAGGTCCAAAAAAAAAAAGAAAAAAAAGTAGGGGTTTCATAATTTCTTAGGGCCCCCAACTCGGCAAAAATGTTAAACTCACCACGCAAGCTCGCAAACCAGCCGCGCCCACGGCCCAAACTTTTCTTTTGGGTAAGGGCTGCCAAAATTTCAATTTCCGCAGGCCCTTCCCCCAAAAGTTTCAGAATAGAGAGGCACAAAATAGGGCTCATTCCAACTTTTGTTTTAGGCGGGGTATGAAAGCTGTCCTTCCCGCTGCCTTCTGCAAATCCCACACAGTAGTGGGGTAAGTTCGCAAGAAGGGGTAGAGCCTAATAACGACCTGCCCCGCGAAATTCCGCAGAATTCACAAATTACATGTTCCATCGCCAGCCGACCACCAATATATGCTGAAGATTGGTGTTCAGGTCCGCATGTCGGCAGTTATGGGTCAGGATGAAGATGCCCGTGGCTCTCTCGTTTTTTTTTTTTGTTTTCTTACGAATACTTCAAGTGGGGATGCACAAAAGACATAGCATATGGCGGTGTATGGTTCCATGTTTTCGCAGAAGATTCATTATGTTCGTTTTTTTGTTTTTTTTTTCTTACGAATACTTCAAGTGGGGATGCACAAAAGACATAGCATATGGCGGTGTATGGTTCCATGTTTTCGCAGAAGATTCATTCTACTAATATTATATACATTTGGTGAGTGGTGGAGGGAGGCCCTGAGAATCACGTGTAGACACGAACAGGGTGTACCTGAATTGGTGACCCATAACTGCCGAGCTACAGCCCTGAACTTGAATCCACAGCATATATTGGTGGTCTGCCCACATCTATCCCACACGTGACGAGGCCATCCTTCTCATTGAAGCTGGCCCTCAATGGCTCCACATGTATTGTAGGAGCCATTTGAGGTACCTGCAGGGGGCCTCGAATTGACGTGAAGGGAACCTTTTGTTCTCTCTCTCTCTCTCTCTCTCTCTCTCTCTCTCTCTCTCTCTCTCTCTTGGGGCCTTTCTTTTTTTCTTTTTTCTTTTTTTTTAAGTTTTTTTTTTCTTTTTTTTTTATCCCGCACAGGGCGCAAGTCCCTCAGAGCGCGCACTGCGCACAGCGGACCGCACTGGGTACTGCGAACAGTGCGCGCGCTGTCGTTCCAGCGCACAGCGCAGTGCGCCCCGCCCCGCCCCGCACTGCGCACTGGTGCGCCGCAACTATGATTTTCGGTGTTTGCGTGCTTCCATTGTGTAGTCTGATCATCCAGTGTGGTGTGGATTGCTCCCTCACAAGGTCACTTGTCATCGCACATGTGTATGGGAACGTGTGGATGCCATGTTGGATCTCATTTCAAACAGGCACATTACACATGATTACAGGAATGGTAGGACATACCAGCCCCCCCCCGCCCCCCACCACACCCAACCCATGTGGCTGAATGGTACACAGATGTAACTTTTAGTCAACAGAGCCGGAGTTTGAATCCCGATGGAATCAGATCAACGAGAAAAGTTATAGAATAACCCCGCGGCGAAACCTTATTAAACCACCACTGCCTTTCACAGCTGTTGTGCCATTTGGGAAAATGACCTCACCCAAACAATCGCTGTCGCGCAGCCACTGATATTTTCCATCAGCGGCTACCGGCCTCTGAAACGAATGGGGACCCATCCCGTGTCCGACGTATCAGAAAGGAAGTGGCGGTTTAAACAAAAAAGAAAACAACACACCAGCCCGATCTGTGTTGTGCTGACCTCAGTGTGACAGCAGGTGACGCATGCCTCTTGTACACATGCCTGACAACAGATTCTATCCCCATGCTTGTGATGCTCTACAGAATTGCCCGTTTCTTGCCCTTCCTGGTGCAAACTGTACTGTGGGTTGAAGTCAGGCCAGTGTGACAGTTCGTAGCTGTGAATCGACTGTAAAGAAGCAGTGAGGCAAATGAAAGCCCTTGCTGGCGGGCTCGAAGATGGCCATAACCAGGCAAGGAGCTGGTTCAGGGGAGTGACAAATGGATGCAAATGGTGCAGACACCCTTGGCTTTAAAGAAGTGATACTGTGATACAGTTTCAAGTTCAATTCTGAAGACAATTCAAGACAAATTCATTAGACGTTTTTTAATGCCGGAAAATTGACAACTTTGCAAACTTCAAATTCTGCGCACAGTATTTACTGCATGCAGTGCATGAGGAAAAAATTCAAAAAAATACAACTAATCACGGAACATTCTGGTTTATGAGCCAAACCACCCACCCAGGGCAGCCAGAGGTGGTTGGGCCTGGTCTGGGCAAGGTCCCAGAAAGCCACAGCACGAAATAGGAAAAAATGTTGGGCGACCAGGACACCCAGCCGGGCAGGGATAAGGGGCTTCCCTGGCCGGGCGACCTGGGAAGGTTTGAGAAGTGCACTGGAGTTTTCTCTTTTTTCGTTTTTTGTGAAAAAAAAAGAACCAAGCTATATTCTTCTCTCAAGTATACCTCTACATGTCTGAGCACATGTCTAAGCACAGCAGAGATCCACCAAACCAAGGAGCTAACCCCCAGTGAGGAATGGCAGGGGCGAAGACCCTCCAAAAGAACCCAGGACCCTACCAAGGCCCGCGAGGCAGGGCAAGCCAACTATCTCAGCTGCTGAAAACCAAACACGCCTCATCCCTGGGGGATTGAATCCATGACCTCCTCAATGCCACTTGCATGCAAAACCAACTGAGCTAGCCAGCTGGCCCAGTGTTTTGTTTTTCTTAACTCAATACTGTTGCCCTTTTTCTTAACTCAATACTGTTGCCCTTGTTGGGATCATGCAGAATCCAGCCTTCAGGGTTTGGGGGATCGGGGAAGGGGGGCACTTGCATGTGAAACCAACTGAGCTAGTCGGCTAACCCAGTGTTTTAATTTTTCTTTTTTCTCTTTTAAATCTTAACTCACCACCGTTGCCCTTGTTGGGATCATGCAGAATCCCCCCTTTTATTTGAAACCGGGCAACGCATGGTTTGGGGGATCAGGGAAGGGGGGCTGGCAGGGGTGTTTCCAGTGTCAGGTTTTGGACTCTGACCTTCGGAGGCATTAGGCGGAGGAAGGTGGTAGGAAGTGGCAGGAGATAAATGGAGGTGGCGGAAGGCAGTGGTCGGAGGGAGGGAGAGAGGCGGCAGGCAGGTAGCAGGAGGGATTGGGAGGGATGGAGGGCAGGTGGGAGAGGTGGGAGGCAGGTGTCAGAAGCAGGTGGTGATGGAAGATGGAGGGCAGATGGGGGAATGGAGGGGAAGAGGTGGTGGGAAGGTGGTGTGAGGGAGGGGGAGAGGTGACGGGAGTTTGCCTTGCCTACCCATATGGTTTCTGCCTACCACCCATGATACCTAAAGTTTTTTTTGGGGGAAAAGCCCTCAATTTTTGGCTCACCTGGGTGACCGGACAGGTGCGTTCGGGCTGCCCAAGCCTAGGTGCTCAGCCACACACCCAGGCCTGAGCATGGCTGTTAGGCTAGGACACATTTTCTTCCATATCTATACAGGACGAGAAAACAAAACGCGCATCACATTGACTTTTGACGTGCTGGCTTCATGGCAAAACTGCCCTCCAGTTTGAGAAGATGACCTCACAGCTCTACTATGATCCTGTCTAGTTCATGATGCAGGACTCAACTTTGAGACAATGGCATACATCGCAACTCAAGAAGAGGCGGAATAAGACAAAGATAGGGCAAGAATGAGGAAAAGAAGAAGGCAACGACACCAAAGAAGAAGAAGATGACGGCGACGATGAAGATGAAGATGACGGTGGCGACACAAGAAGAAGAAGAAGAAGAAGAAGAAGAAGAAGAAGAAGAAGAAGAAGAAGAAGAAGAAGAAGAAGAAGAAGAAGAAGACGGTGACGACGACGACGACGACGAAGAAGAAGAAGAAGAAGGTTGAACCAATGGCATACCAATGTCGTCACCTCTCCTCCATCATATCCCTCACATTACTTCTCCTTGTTACGATCCTGGCCAATTTCGAAGTATACATTCATCAGAAAGTACAATGCCGTCCAATTGCAAAAAGAAATGAATGAACTTGAGAGAAGAGAGAGGGAAAGAAGAAGAAGAAGAAGAAGTAAGAACGAAGAAGAAGATGATGTACTCCAGCATAGGCCAATGACAAGGCTCTTCTTCTTCGCCAACCAATCTCCTCCTCCTTATCTCCTCCCCTCTTATTCAAACAACAAATAACAATAATAATGTTGAATGRCTGAACCAGAATCAATGTCCGAATCCACTTCTACTGCAGGCACAACATGAGGTCCACCATAGCCATGGCCACCCTTCCTCTTCGTCTGCATGCCGGCCGAAGCTATGGCAGAGCACTGAGGGCTCTACCCTCCTGTCCAAAGGACAACCCAAAGCAGCTATGTCGCTGCCCTTCTGTCCCAAGGTCCACACCAGGCAGCTATGCCGCTGCCCACTCAACCGCCATGCCTGACTCTGTCCCAAGCTTCCTTGATGCGGCACTACCCCAACTGGGGCCTTCCAGATGCACCGCCTGACAAGGTGATGAAGATGGTGTCCACCATAGCCAGGTAGGTACCTCGCCACTCTCCTCCTTGGTCCCCTTCTCCCTCCTCCTCCTACCGGTAGAGCTCCACCATAGCCAAGGTGGAAGCTCCCGCCAGCAGCGCTGTAGTGGCCAGCGCTACTCCAGCCAGCGCTCCAGCAGCGTGTCGCCAAACTTGCACACAGAAGAATGAGGCTGGCTCTTCCCTCGGCCTCTTGATATAGCGGCCTACTTACCTATTGAGCAGTGACTTCCAGGCCGCTCGGCCTCCCAAGCAACCGGTACCTCCTCCCTTTCGAAGGGAAACATCATTGCAGACTCTGATATTGCCCGTACAGGCTCTAAACTCAGACTGGATGGACTGGTACCGGCCTAGACCTAGCCTACCGCTACTGGGCCTCTAAAAATGCCAACTTTGTCTTCTTCTGCTCAGCCTCGAGTACCCGGCACATCTACTGCTACTGGGTGCGGTACCGGCCTACCTGCTACTTGAGTGTTTTTCCGCTGGTCTAAGCACCGCGGGCCCCTGGCTCCGCTACTTGAGTGTTTTCCCTTCTGCAACCCTTAATGCCACGGCCACAGGTAAGTACCGGCCCTACGGGCCTGCCAAACAAGCAAGTACCCTTGCGGGTCACACACACACTCATACCGACAAGAACTCAGACAGGCATGCAGGTCACAAGCACGCACACACACAGACTTAGAAAACTGAGCAGAATACGGGAATCTCAGCAAGGCATCCATTTCATCGGCAGAACTCCAGAAATCAGCAGTTTTCTCAGTCTGTGTTATGGCGGGTCATTACATCCTCCTCGGATTACAAAATTTATTAACAAAAAAAAGAAATAGATGAAATGAAACAATGCCCAATACAGTTGAATACACTGAATACAGTAACCGGACTGATGCCCCCCCCAGAATAGAAGGGGCTGTGTTTGTTAAAAAGAAAAAAAGAAAAAGAAAAAAAAAAAAAAAGCCCAATACATCTCCCCTCACTGCCAGTGCAGAAACAACTCTCCTTTACCCTCGCCTCCTGCTAGCGGCTATGGCGGATCATTCCTGTCTACATCGGATGCTACGAGGACAATGCACTTTTACCATAGCTGTTCCTCCCTCTGCCACCATGCATCACTCACGGATGAAGCCCATGTCCAACCAGTACCCCAGTAGGGGTCGTTTCGGTGCCATCCCAATTACGGAAGTGACGATGAAGGTCCACGATGACCAGTTGTAAGTCTTTCCCTCCTTCGCCCTCCTCTCACGCTGTTAAAGCCTCCCACTTGACTCCATAGCCCAATGTGGTGTTCTACTTCCTCCCTCCACACCCAGACCAGTCACCCTCTCACTCCTCAGTTCTCCGTAGCCGTGATAAGCAAGTGCCCAGGTTAGGGTAAATGTTGCAGGTGATAAGCATATTCAGTATTACATTACATTCATCTACGTTCCAATGCTAGACGAGGATTGGACAAGCGCGCAGGAAGTAGGAGCTGGGGTGTCGCCTGCTCCCCAGTTCTGCCTCAGGTATTAAGAGGAGGATCTGGCTAGAATTCTTGTTGAACCGTGTTTAACGGTCACCTGTTTGGCAGAATGGAGTGCTTAGATGGCAAAACATGAAATCCACTCATTCGCAGTCATTTCCCAGACGCGCTGCGCAGTAGATGGGGTAAATCTACTTGAAACTTGGTGAAAAGAGGATGCATCCATGCCACCCGGCATTGCTTCAAACTCGTCAGACATGTATAAATCCATGAATGTCAACTGCAGCGCATCGGTTAGCGAGGTGGGTCAGCACACAGTCACCAGATGTTAGTCCTCCGTCTTTTCCAGCAGATAAAAAAGCCAAAAAGAAAGAAACAAGAATCAAGGGACTCCAACCGAGACGAGGTCTTAGCAGTCGTGATCAAGCTTAATGGCCACCAGAATGCAGAAGACCAGAATCGGCCATTGTTTACCATCTATGCTCTCATAGATCGCTCAAGCAGATAAAGCAACAGCTTCACTTGCCGCTCTCTCTCTCTCTCTCTCTCTCTCTCTCTCTCTCTCTCTCTCTCTCTCTCTCTCTCTCTC